GCGAAAAAAAATGTAGGCGCCGGTGAGGTGGATTGGCGTTGTCAGGTGGGGTAGCGGGGGCGGCCGCGGGGCGGGGGGGGGGGGGGGGGGAGTTTAGTAAACAAACTTTTAATAATCAACAACAAACCATACTTAGCATATGTGCTGGCCTTTGTATAGTGATCATTATCATGAAATATATGGTCTCATCTTATAACATACCAAGGTATAAAAGTATTGGCTTTTTCACGTAACACAACACTTCGCTGATTAATGATTACGAATTCAACGTCTTTTCCTTTAAAGAAAAATTGCATTTTCGCATCAAAAACAAGTCTTTAATTTTTTCTAAAATCGTACTTTGAATTTTCTTACCAAGAATTTTTTCAAAGACTGTTGAATGACATATCATTCGATACAGAATTCAATTTTCTGCAAAATTGTGTATTTGCTTTTGATTGTTATCATTAAGAACAGATTGTACAGTCGAGGAGCTCACGTTTTGATGTAGCAACTTGATTCTTGCATAGAATGATTATTTGTACGGCAAAGAGAAATATTTATGAAAACCAAATATTTCTAAGCACGAGTGTGGGTGGTGTAGGGGTGAGTGCGGTGAAAACAAGATACACAACCAGAGCAACACCCACCCTCACCCCCACACTCACACCCGATGACAGATAACTGGTTATCTGAATAAATGCTCTTACTATGGAACCATCCATCGATGCACGACCAGCATGCCATTTATGGGGTGTGGAGTGTGGACGTATGGGTGAGGGGTGTGGATGTGTGTGGGCGAGGGTTAGAGACCTGTATGGAATCGTTTTCGGAGTCGCCATCGGAGTCAATTAATTCCTTTGCTGAAAATTTAGTTTTAGCATAAGAATTAATTGACTCCGACGGTGACTCCGAAAACGACTCTGTGCAGGTCTATAGTGAGGGTGGGTGTGTTTTGGGGTAAATTTTGTCTATTTTCTAAAAACGTACCCACACTCACACCCTCAATCTAAGTGGAAATTAATTTAATTTCTTGTTTGTGAAATAAAAGATTTTAGTATGCACGCCTGTTATTGTTTATTAAAATTCTGAAATAAGTGACATATTTAAGCTCAACGATTCGATAGTGAAAATTTCTCAGAATATATTTAAAAGCTGTATATCAAATATGATTTAATAGCTCCTGTTCCACGGGACTCTCTTGGAATCGATTTTTCTTTATTTCAAAAACAAATCTTGTGTAAAAAAAGAAGAATTCTGCTAGAGACTACACTTAGACATGTTCTTTCAAGCTGTAAAGTTTTATTCGGTATTTTGAAATTTATTCAAGAATTCTGGAATCCACGGTCGACAAGCCATGGAATGAAAAACGTTCAAAAGCATCTTAACGTTCTACTCAAAACAATTTACTTTCTAATAGAGTTACAGGAATTTCTAGGACCTTTTTTGTGAAAATATCTTCGCGTGTAAGTCTTTTAAGCTTTTCATGGTTTCAATCAAAACTGACCTTCTTGGGTAGATGGTCTAGGAAAATCTAAGTACAATGAATTATTCAAGATCTACAGTAAAAGCAATATAATCCCATCATTGATAATACCAATTAATTATTGAAATATCAGTGTTCGAAAAAAAACGAGTCTGAACTTTTTCTTATCAAGTCAGAAAATCTAGCAGTTCGGACTTGTACCCCATAGTTATTTCAAAAAAGATAAGAGAAAATTTGCCATGTTTGTACATGTATGCAATGTACTTACACTGATCGTGCTTCGTCACTATACATCAGAAATGAGTGACATCTTTTTTGTGTTATTGCAAAGCATGAGACTATGCTATTGATTGATGGAGATTACGAACTGATTTTCTGTTTGTTCAGATTGAGTAGAGAGTTGTTATTTGTCCTTTTATAATTTTCTTTGGCTTATTGACATAAATATTAGTATTTTTCTTATCGACAAATATCGTGCGAAGTAGATACAGAGAGTGACGGGACCATTGTGTCACTTCGACCAAAGTTGCCGAAACTTTACGATATACAAGAAAAACCACAGAATAATAGAGTAAAATAATTTTCCTGAATATTAAAAGGTAGATAAGTCATATATGAAAATAACAACGTGTGTTCGAAAATTTATTGACTGTAATACATTTCAAGCTTCTCGATTTTATTGATGAGAGTAAATAATCTTGAGATTTTGCATTTTAATTTAGCAAGAGATTTTTAAGTATAGTCATTGCTTTTTTCTCAGAATTTTTCAGTGAACATGAAGGATTCATTTTTTAATTGAACATGCATCCACTGTTAGAAAAGAATCAGAGGAAAATTGATAGTGGCAGTCTCAGTTGCCATGCTTGACAAGATTTCAGATAAAAATATAGATAATTCGCTTAAACGAATACTTGAGTAATGTAATATTGAAAGATTCTCTATTTTGGCTATTTCGATTAGAAGACTAATACTCAGTGTTTGATGATACTTTTGTCTTTTTTCTTCCAAATATTCTATTGAAAGATAGAATTCTAAAAAGCAAATCATATTTGTACTTACGCTTGATAATTAAATCAAGCATGATTTCTGTTTTAATATTATTGATTAATTTAATTTTTGTGAAATACTTAGAAATGTTTCTTTACACCCATCAAAAAGAATTTCTTTTTAGAAATCGATTTAACTTACTACAACCAATGACTTTACAAGGTTTAAGTACAGCAAAAGCATGTGGACTTGCGGCCTATGGATGTGTTCTCTGGGGTGCGGCTGCGCTCACAGTTCGGCATGCAGGACCGGCTTGCTACAACACCGATTTGGGGAAAACTCTTATGATGGTCGCTGCTGTGCCAGGTTCTTATATACTGGTCCGTAGCGTTGATAAGCTATTTTCCCTGAGTTCAAAAGAAAGACTCGCCGCAGTAACATTAGTTACTGCTAGTGCGCTGATAATGGACGGTCTTGCTGTTACAGGGTTTCCAAGTATATACGAAAATGAGTCATTGAAAGCAAAAAATGTAGATTTGGCTCGCTCGATCGCCAGAGACGGAACTGGATGGGTATTCTTCGGTGCTGGAGTTGGACTAGCAATTGCTCTTGTTATTTCATAATGCAATTTGATTATACCTAGTTTGATCGTTAGCGTCCGTGTCCTTAATGTACAATATGACATTTTTGTTTTACTTCACTTAATATCATACACTCCCATAGATTATAGAACCCGCAAAATCTGCTTTAAAGAGATGTTGATCAACGCTTTATATTTAAGAAACAAAATTCAATTCTGAAAGCATCATGTAACACCAGAATAAATTTATCTATTTCAATAGTCTAGATATGTGCAATAGTTTGATCATTTCTTCAATGTGTGAACGAGGCTTTAGGAGATGTGCATGGCTTGTAAAGAAATTAAAATATATCACTTACCATACTCTACAAGCTATCCACCCTAGGAAAGAAAATGATTCTTATTCGTAGTTCCGTGTTTCATATTTATTCAACTAATCATCATTTTTTTATGATTCAATAAATTCTTGTTTGCATCCTTTTTTTTTATTGTGCTTCATCCTTTATTTATTCTTATCTTCTTTAATAAATGTTTGAGTGAAATAAAAATTTTTAATATATAATAATGATTCATACCAAAAGCAAGACGGTTTCGATGTCATCATCTTACTCAGATAACAACGACCACACCACCTCTATCTAAAAAAAAACGGCTAAAAATAAACTGAATGATGTAAATAAATAGAAAAATATTCGTATCTGAAACGAGTGGAAGTTTAACATAACATAGGCGAACTCATGGAGTAAATTCTTTTGAAAATTACAATAAATTCTGAATGAGGTTTTTCACTTGTGAAAATTGTGATTTCTAGATAGGAAAATAAAGTTTGATCATCACTGTTACACAAGTATATGACCATCAATACAGTTGACTGAAGTCTACTAACGGGTTTTAGACTAACATTTTATCATAAAGTATCTTAGTATAACTTTTTTTTCAAGAATGAATTATTGCTATTTTACAGACAAAACAAATTTTCCCCTCTTGTAAAAAACTTAGATTTTGTTTTGTATTTATACTATATTCGGCTAGAATTATTGATAAAACCATAGAAAAAAAGTGTAAAAAATACAATCAACTTCAGCTTAAGTTTCACAATCGGCTATGCACCTACTAAGGATTACACATTAACAGAGGGTCTGTGGGAATCAGAGGTGCAGAATCTGTCGCTTAAATAAAAAATTTCTCGTACGAAAAAAGTTTTTCGGAAAGATTTCCCCCACAGTAAAATTGAATGAAAAAGCGTTATTCTCGTTTAAGATACATGTTAAAGAAAAAAATTACCACCATTTTACACATGGCAAACAGCGTAGCTTCTCAAAAGAGACACTTTTTAAATAAGCATGCAGCTATTAAAATAATTCTTTATAGGTACTTGGATTTTACATAAATGTTTAAAGCTCTCATACCTATTTGGTTCCCTTGCTCGAACAGAAGAAGTAACGTTATATAGATCACTAACCTTCATTTTAGTAATACTCAATATTTATCGACTTATGGTGCTATTCGAAAAATAATGGTTCTCTCAGAACAAGCATTCATGAAGATATTAGTAAACAGAGTGTTAAAAAATAGCAAACCAATATTTGAATATATATCGAGTCTCAAATAACTACAAAGCGAATAAAAACTGTCGCAAAAGTACATAACTATCGAAGAATTTAATAGTTACCAGAGATTTAGATACCTATTCAAAATCCAAATGAGTATGACATCTTTAATAGCTGTGAAAGACAATTAAATAGTTATGAAAACTTGAAATAGTTATGGAAGAGAATTAAACAGCTATGAAAACTTTTTAGTCGTTTATTTTAAATAAATTGTATCTCTCGTGAGAATGCCTCCTTTCTTTTCGAAAATGATATCTAGTAAAGTTATTTTCTGAAATCTTTGATTAAAATCTATGTTCAGGATGTTCTTTATTCCAATGTTCTTTTGCTTCATCTCTTCGTCCAAGACATTCATAATAAAAACACGATAGTTCAAGTTTTCTAGGGTTCCTGTCGATTATTAAGCTATGTTAAAGATTCCAAAGAGAGCAAGGAGAGAAGAGAAACGATTGGTATCTGAATAATGATCATTTTGTTCGTCATCTGCCTGGTGGTGACATATTAGTCATCGTAGCGGCTGTGTACGCATCGCACAAACATAATAATAGCTATATGTAGCAATAGAGAAAAGACAGCAAGTAGTGACATCGTATAAGAAAAAAACATAAAATGAAAAGATAACAAATAGTGCGTTCTGCATGATAACTATGCACAAGTGGAATTAATGAGATGAATGATCGACGTGAACAAGTAGACAATGCTGACACTAGGATAAAGAAACACATGATTCTTACAAAACTTAACGACAGCAAAAGAAAGAACAGAAGTGTAAAATCTCATCGACTCAAGTTTAAATAAATCAAGATTCGTTTGGCAATCTCAAATTTTCTCTAACAGGGAAAAATTTCCCCTCTGTAAATAAATTTTCAGAAATTTCCCCGTACAGTCGTACGAGGACGCGGTTAGATTCTGCACCTCAGATGAGAATACCGGGTAAAATGGTTGAGGAAAAAAATTTTGATTTTCAATTTACATATCTTAAAAGAAAGATTAAACAGAGTTGGGGTAAAATCCAAAAATATTAGCTCGATCTGACGAGTGCTTTCTCAAGGATGTGGGTGTGGGGTTTGGTTGTCGCTGTGAATGTGACTCTTCTCTTGATGGACACCTACACCCTATGTATGACATCACTTATAACACATGTTATGAAGGGGTGACTACACGGTTTGATGACTATCTAACCTGTATTGTCCATTCTATTTGGTGAGCAAGTGTCATTGGTTATGCACAGAAACATCCTACAAGATGGCAAGTTTACCTATAGTATAGAGAGAAATGTTCTGAAGCTGTTCGTTTCGACTCTCTGTACTTTGGTTAAAAACCAAAAAATATAAAAAACTAAAAATGGAGACTACTGACTATTTTCTTACAGAAAAATTAAAAAAAGAACGAAGCAGTCAGTCACATAAACAATCATCAATCTTCTCTTACGCATCTTATACGGTGACCATTCACTTCTGTACATAACATTTTGTCTCTCTTCATTAAGACGAATCCTCTACACAGATAATATTTAAAAAAAAAAAGCACTTTTCACTCAAATAGTCTCATTGCAAAAAAAACTGCTTTTCTTTTATATATGGGAATGACCAGTCTGACTGGAAGACCCAACTTTAATCATATAATGTAGCTTTTACAAAGCATTCAGAGAATTATAATTCTTCTTTTTACCAATTACAATACTAGCATAGTGTTGATAATCGGTCAAGTCTAAGTAGTTAATAACTTGTTTGAAAACAAAATAATTGAAGTCTTCAAAAGATCTGACTGTCATTGGTAAAAGAAAATATAATTCACTTATATATTATAGAAGCTACATGATATAATAAAAGTTGGATCTTTCAGCCAGACTGGTCATCCTCATATATATTTTTTTTTTGACCATGTTAATTTTTGTGATATTTGGATTTATTTTAGCCATTCAAATATAATATTTGCTTTTTATTAACATAGCTTCGGAAATTATCAGTAAATTCTATGACTGGGGCTCTTTTTTTTGAGAATACTTAAATTGATATCATTAAAATAATAAACAATATGCATTTTTCCGATGAAACTCGAAAAAATGTGTTTTAGTCAAGAGTGCTATTGTTCAATAATATATGTGAAGTTGATTCATCTCAATGAAGACTTCGAGATGATCTCTACTATATGAAATAAGACTATTTAATTAGCTTTAACAAATAAAGTAGTTTACACGAATTTACTTTTAAAAAAAACCATTTAGGACACTTTGTATTTGTCGAATAAATAAGTAAAATCAATTCTTCTCATACATGTCTTAAAATGATTTATCTAAATCAAAAATGATATGGATAACTTTTTGTGACTCCATTCGATAATTGCTTCAACAATTTTTTTCGACGACACAACCAAGCCATACACGGTCTCTACTTTTTCTAGTTTTCACTTTTCAATTTACCGAAATCAAATTGACAACACTTGCTGTTGCAAAAAAAAATCTATTTCACAAAAATTTCTGAATAGAGATATCTGATGTTTAATTGATTTGCTCCATCTTCTAAACGTAATCTAACATAATTTCAAATAACTGATCACTATATGATAAACATTGCGCAAAAAGTATGTTGACCTAATGAACTGACAAAAAACTGAAGGAGAAAAAAAATATTATTTGTTTATTATTGTCTAATATCATAACATCAACATATATCTCTCATCGTTCTCACAGACGACGATAAGCAAACGAAAACATATATACACAGAGAGAGTCAGAGTGAATAAATCATTATTAAACATGGAAACATCAAATAACTATAATATTAATATACTCGATTTACCTGATGAAATTTTACTTGCAGTTTTCAATAAGTTGAATATGGTCGATGCATTCTATTCATTAGTATATGCTAATAAACGATTTAATCGATTAACACTTAATCCTTTTTATATTCATAATCTTGATTTGGCTGTTAAACGTTTATTGCTTCAACAAGTTTCTCCATTAGATACCCAAGAGATTGATACAATTTGTAAAAAAATCTTACCAAGAATTCATCATCATATATACAAACTTACTGTTCCATCATATGTAATTGAATGTATTATTAATATTAATTATCCTCAACTTCAATCTTTATCACTTGTCAATTTTGAAGAACAAAAATTATCAGAATATTTAACAGGTAATACTCAATTTAATCATAAGAACATGGAAAATCTTCTACATAAATTGATAATCATATTTTTTGTAGGAGAAACAACTGCTTATCGTTTATTAACAAATCAAATCAAACATCTTAATGTCGATATTGTTTATGATAAAAATGCATCAAATATATATTTACTAATATTATCTTTGGGCAAACATTTAACTGATCTGACGTTTCATAATCGATTCTCATCTGAACATCTAGGAAATCCAACCTTTGTTGTATCATCAATTCATATATCTTCAACTTTGACTAAACTAATTATTAATGTAACTATATTTGATGATTGTCTTTATCTTCTCGATGGAAGTCTTCAATCTTTAACGGCATTGATTATTGATATAATTGGAATCTTCGAGTTATCATCAATCATAGATAACACGGTAATTATAAGTTCAATCATTGTGTATGAGAAAAAACACAGTTCTAATTTTTTTATTTTTATTTTTATAGAAAAAACTTCCTAAACTGAAACAATTTTCATTAACCTCGAACCGTCTGACATTTTCTTATGACGAGAAAATTGTTTCATTACTTTGTCCAATGATGAATATCGGAGATTTAACATTATTTCTCAATGTAAGAAGACTTGATTCTATTTATATTGATAATTATATTGATGGTACTCATTTATATAACGATGTTCTTGCTTTTATACTACAACTTCACAAATTTACTTTCAGTATTAATACTTACGCTCGTATCAGTAATACTGGGTTTCCATCGAATGATGATATCCAGCATAGCTTCATTCAAAAAGGAAATCGACATGTTGGTTCATATGTTCATAATAGATTACATATGCAGACTGGTCAATGTCATGTTTTTCTCTTTCATATTAATTCGACACTTATCTTCTGATTAGGTGCAATTCTTTTCAAGGTGATATATTCGATAAAGTTTGATCAATGAAAATGTTTGATTCATATCCATTTGAACATGAATTATTTAAAAAGATCTCTCAACATTTTCCTTTTCTCCGAAACTTAACTTTAGGTAATTACACTGGACAAGACAATAAACAACATTCATCTACATTCATTACATTTCCACATCTTGAACATCTGGATATTACGTTTGTGCATGCTGATTATGCTGAACAATTTCTCTTTGAAAAAAGTACTCGTTTACCTCGTTTGCTGGAACTTCACATTAGTTATGATACATTAGCAATAATCACAAACAATTTTACCAATGATTTAGCACGTGTCAATTGTTCTGAAATAAGACATTTTGTTACAAAAGAATTATATGTTCCTCCTAAAGATTTTCATTTGTATTTTCCTTTGTTAGAAATATAGGTTTTTTTTTTCATTGTATTATGACAGTATAAAGAAATATTTGAAGAACATGGAATGTATATATCTATGATGGAAAACTAGTTTTTGTTTAAATTACTAATTCTTAATTAAAAAAGGGTATGGCAAACAAAGGAAAAATGTATGATTTATTATGAAATAAATCCGAATGAGATATAGACGTACATCTATATGATGAATGCAAAGATATTTGAAATGTTTTTCATAAACAATTGATTGTCATGATGAAAAGAAAGAAATATAGGTTAGAGATATTCTTTTCAAAAATAACAATTTCTGATAGAAAGTTTAATCGTTGAATCTCGAGATCGAGAAATCCGAATATAGTGGTGTTTTTCTGAATTTTTCGAAGTTGAAATTTTATATGAAAAATTTTCCATAGTTTCTAATTTGCTCACCTCCAAGCTCTTTTTTTGTCAAAATTCATAAAAATTTGTTATTTTTCGAACAATAGACTCTGTCTAATGAAGGTAAAATCAAAACGCTTGTTAAATATAGATTTGGACTATTAGTATACAAATTTGGATATTCGACCTTTGACTCTGTAAGAGACAACCGCTGGTATTATATTCAGGTAGAATGTGCCTTTTTTCCTTGATTGAAGATAATACGAATAAATATCAATCAATTATAGTCGAATTCGGGTTGTTTTTTTATACTCATAATTATGATGGATTATATTGATAATATGTTTGTATTGATTCTGGTACTAGTGTCATATTCACTAATCACACTAATAGTGATCTCCACTGGATAAAAAAAATTCTTCCTTGTTGTTCTTTTTGTTTATTATAATTCATGCTCTACATGTGATGTGTGAAATAGTTGTCAAAAAGATGAGTCAATATACAGGGTGTCCCGAAAGTTATTTAACAAAAGTCTATTCGTATAACTTCGCTATTGGTTGAGCTTTATCGACTAAGTTTTTTTATATGATAGGTGACACCATCAGACGGGTTGGTGTGGGTGTGGGTGTAGGTGCTGTTGGTGTACGTGAATACAAGGTGCACACCCACATCCTTAAATACTGAAAAAACTGTCGACTGATTATCGATTTTCTTGCAATTGTTATTTTGTTCGATACAGTCTGAAAGGACCCTTGAAATATATAGTGTAGAAACTTGAACCCATCTTTCGCCGCCCTCATCTCCATCGACAGACCATGAAATCTGCTTTGATTAAATAAATAATTGATAAACGTGTTATTATCTAATAAATTATTTCACCATCTCAGACCGTGACACACGGCCCCAAGAAGCTATCGGAGATAACTGCAAGTAATGCTGAATCGAATGGAGCTGGAATACTTTTCTGTTGAAATTCTAAACTGTAAGGTACACAATAATTAGAAAGCAGACTCTAATACACGTGAAAAAGATCAGTTTTCAGAGGATTAAAAACAATATCCCCATAGTAACGGGCGCGGCAGAATAAATGGCGGTGTCAGTATTTTCATTATAACTTTTTTTCTTTTTGATCTTTATAACTGGTTGTTTTGCCAAAAGATGTGTCCTGAAATTCTCTACAAAACCAAAAATAAACTTATTTCCGTAGAAAGTTAAGAGAAAAAAAGAAATGAATATTATTCAAAGCATAAAAAGTGCT